TTAAAACATAATTTAAAAAATTTTCGTGATTTATTTTCTCTCGTGGAGTAAATTAAAATGCTAGTGCCAATTTATTACTAGACCCAGAAGTTTTGAACATCTATTTACTATAAAATACGTAAGTAGGCTTAAAACAAAATTTAAAAAGATTTCATAAATTTTTTTCATCGTTGAGTATATAATGGTAGTGCCAATTTATTACTGGACCCAAAAGTTTTAGAACCTCTTTCTATTATCAAAAACTTTTAACTAAAAATTTAAAGCAAATTTTTAATAAATTTTCGTAATTTTTTTCCTCGTGGACTAAAATATAATAAGTGCTAATTTATTACTAAAGACAAAAGGTTTTGAACACTTTTTTTAGTATCAAATACTTTAAACTAATTTTAAGACAAAATTTTTAAAAAAATTAATAATTTAGTTCCTCGTGGAGTAGAATATAGTAAAAGTGCCAATTCACAAAGGTTTTAGACAATCTTTCTAATATCACAAACATTTAACTAGGTTTATAACTTATTTTCCTCGTTGGTTAAAATATAACAGCACTGCCAATTTATTACAAAATCCAAAGATTTAAGAACATCCTTCTAGTATCAAAAACTATTAGCTAGGCTTAAGTAAATTTTTAATTTTCAGAATTTATCCTTGTGGAGTAAAATATAATGGCTTTGAAAATTTATTACTAGATCCAAAGGTTTTAGAACATCTTCAGGCAGGGAGAGTATAATGGGTGAAATTATTCAGAGTATATTTTATGTAGAATAAATTAGCTATCATAAACATTTAACTAGGTTTAAAACAAGGTCTTAAAAAAATATAAATTTTTTCCTCGTGAATTAAAATATAACAGCAGTGCCAGTTTACTACAAGACCCAGGTATTTAAGAACATCTTTTTAATATCAAAAACTTTTAACTAGTCTTAAGATAAATTTTTACAAAATTTTCACAATTTATTTTTTTCTAGTGGAGTGAAATATAATGACGGTGCAAATTTATTACTTGACCCAAAGTTTTTAGAACATCTTCCTAATATCATAAACATTTAACTAGGTTTAAAACAACGTCTTAAAACAATTCACAACTTCGTGGAGATAAATATAACAGCAGTGCAAATTTATTACTAAACCCAAAGATTTTAGAATATCCTCCTAATATCATAAACATTTAACTAGGTTTAAAACAACGTCTTAAAATAATTCGCAATTTTTTTCCTCCTAGAGTAAAATATAACAGCAGTGCCAATTTTAGACAAGACCTAAAGGTTTAAGAACATTTCTAGTATCATAAATTTTAACTAGGCTTAAGATAAACTTTTTAAAAATTTTCACATTTATATTTTCCTCGTGGAGTAATATATAATGACAGTGCCTATTTATTACTAGAACCAAATATTTTTGAACATCTTATTTCTAATATCAAAAACAATCAACCCTGATTAAAACAAACTAGTTTAATTTTCTATATATTCAACAAATTGACCCAGCAAGCACTAAGCAAACCAACCCAGTGGCGTCACTAGGGTGGTGAAAAATAAAATTTTTTTTTTAATGGCTCCTTAATATCCCCTTGAACTAACAATGAATTTTTTTGATAGCTCCCTGAATAATTTCTTTTATAATTCCATTAAGTAATACAGAGTTGTACATTTGCTCAAAATAAAAAAATCTTCAAAGATCATCGTAAAATTTGAAGATCTTTTATTTATAAAAAAAATTTGAGCAACGATCTTAAAAGATCTAGATCTTTGAAGATCGTAAAATTTGAAGATCTTTTATTTTTTAAAAATTTTGTGTAACGATCTTCGAAGATCTTCATGATATTTATTTTTTTACCCCTTTATTAAAAGCCCAGATGTTTTTCAATTTTATTAATATAATATTTCTTTTATGTTTTATACCTGTTCTCCTGCCTTAATGAAAATTGGAAAACATCTGGTTTTTAATAAAGGGGTAAAAAAATAAATATCATGAAGATCTTTGAAGATCGTTAAACAAAATTTTTAAAAAATAAAAGATCTTCAAATTTTACGATCTTCAAAGATCTTGCTCAAATTTTTGAGCTAGACCTCGCTCAAAAATCTTCAAAAAAGATCTTTTGTACAACTCTGAAGTAATATATAGATTTAATTTTATTATTTAGAAATTAATAAGAGTATTTCAATTTTTATTAAATGATTACTATTTTAATTATTAGATTAGATTAATACATATAAATTATATTTTCACTATGTCAGCTTGCAATCAAATTCTGTATTAAAAATATAATATCAATAACTTACTAAATATTAATTTAGCTTTAACAGTTGAAGTTTAATTGACTTTTATTATTTAAATAAATATATAACCCTAATTAAATAAATATAATCATTTATTATTTCAAAATTAACAAATTTAATATTGTCAAGTTCAAAATGACTAATCAACTGTATATTTATTTTTAAATTTAATTATCATACCTATTCCTGAAAATATTTTAAAGATCCAAATAAGTATAAGAGATTACTTTATAAAAAGTAAATAAATAGAGCTATATATATTATAATCCTCTATTATATACAGTTGGTTATAAAATATTAGATAAAATACCACTTTTATAGACGTATTTGACAACTATATAATATATTACAGTTAATATTATAATAAATTTTACTAATAAATGGTTTTGATAATAGATATAGTAACAATATGCATTCAAGTATTTAACGCCATCTATTTAGTTATAAAAGATTTTAAAAATTAGACATTTTATTATTCATCTATAGGTGTAATAAATTTGATATCTTTTCTTCTCTTTTCTATTTTTTTCTTTTTCGAAAAACAGTTTTGAATTAAATTTTTAATACAAGTATATTTTTGATATTATTACAAACTACTATTATTTTAAGATATAATATCGACATTATATAAAATCTTAATTGTTTCATCATATCATTCTGGTCCTTATTTTATAGTTAGAAAATGTTTCATTTCTAATATGGCATTGCTGTGTGTAAATAACTCCAGGCTGCAATATATTTGCATAATTATTTCTTTCAAAATTTTTAGTGTTTTTATTTTATCAATCTATCCAACATAATAAATTCTGATATAAAGTTTACATCGTGAGTGTCATGGCTATTACTGCAAATTAACCAGTGTATATTATTTGTGTTGCTATGTAATTTAAGATTATTACAACAACGGCTGAGAGAATATGATTGCATATTTTAGATAAACAATAATGGTCAACTGTGTAGTATATATCATTTAAAATGGATGATAATCTTTTAGAAATTTATTATCTCACGATAATTTTCTCGATTACTTATCTAGCTTCCATCATGTCTTCTAAAAGGAAGCTCTAACCACCATATAGTTTTATGATTTGGATTGATCGTTTATACTCTTTTCTTCAAAAATTGTTGATTTGGTAGAGGCCTATAAAATTTTCCTTATTAGTTTATTGTATAAAACATTGTCTAAAATGGTAACAGAGATTTATACTAGTTTGATAACCTTTTGTCAATGTAAGTTGCTAAGAATTATATTATTGCATTATGTGGTTTTTTATATGCCAGTTTATTTTGTATGCATAATATAATAAATGACAAAATATGAAAATCAGAATAATTGTTCAGAGTTAACTAATTTTAAAAAATAAAACCCGGCCGAAGGCCCGCAAATTAGGGGGTATGGGGGCGAAGCCCCCCATAAAATTTTTTTAGTTGAGCCCCTTGAGATTGTAAAGGCTAGCGACGCCCCTGAACCAACCCAGCAAGTCGACCCAGCAGGCCAATCCAAGGAAGCCCAACAAGCCCTACAAGTCGACCCAGCAAGTTGACCCAGCAGGCCTATTCAGTAAGTCAACCTGGGTCGGCTCAACAGGCCCAATGGGTCGGGCTAGGTCGTGATGGATTTTTCGACGCTGGCTCAGGGTTGGGCCAATTTTTATGATTTCGACTCGGGGTCGTATCGAAAAAACCAACCATTTAACAACACTAATTTAACCAATGTCAAATTTTTATCAAAACGGGGTTTTTGCGGATTTAAAAGTATTTGCATTTAAGCGATATACAATTAAACAGTTTTGACTGTATAGAGGAAAAAATGGATATCGCCAATTAGGTTATACGAGATGAAAACGGTTCGCCCTCTGGTTGTCGATACAACCGAGTCACGCTAGATTTCTCATTTCATCAAACTGGATATTGAAAATATGGGGAAAAAATTTGAGGAACCCTTTATACTTTTGCGGACAGGAAGCACACACTTGTACCCACAACAGATCTAAAATTAAAGTTTAAATTTCAATAAACTGAAATAAAATGATTTGGGCAAAAAGAAGTAACCATATCCAAGATATTTACAAATATATTTTAAAGGAGTGGGGAAAGGCCCTAATTTTAATCTAAATAATAATAATAAATAGAATCTGTTATTAATAATGTTATTAATATGAATATATTAAAATAAAAGTTCAAAGTGAAAGAGAGATACTAAGCAGCCAAATATAGGATTTGGCTTAGACAAAAGCAGAAAAATGAGAAAAAGAATATAAATATTATATTATCCAGGATCAGAGTTGTACATTTGCTCAAAATAAAATAAAATTTGAAGATTTTTTATTTATAAAATTTGAGCAACGATCTTAAAAGATCTAGATCTTTGAAGATGGTAAAATTTGAAGATCTTTTATTTTTTAAAAATTTTGTGTAACGATCTTCGAAGATCTTCGTGATATTTATTTTTTTACCCCTTTATTAAAAGCCCAGATATTTTCAATTTTATTAATATAATATTTCTTTTATGTTTTATACCTCTCCTCCTGTGATAAAAATTGAAAAACATCTGGGTTTTTAATAAAGGGGTAAAAAAATAAATATCATGAAGATCTTTGTAGATCGTTACACAAAATTTTTTAAAAATAAAAGATCTTGCTCAAATTTTTGAGCTAGATCTCGCTCAAAAATTTTCAAAGAAGATCTTTTGTACAACTCTGTCCAGGATTTCTATAAGGAATCCAAGGACGTCTGACGTTTAATAGCATTACATTAATATGAAGTTATTCACTCACAATATGCTCACGTCTAGATGTTTAAAAGGCGTTTTGAGTGGTTATCCACTGGAGTTGATAGTATTTCTATTTGCTTAAAAAATATTTCTTTTATATAATATAGGCTACAAATGTACAAATACGCGAAATTGAATTTAAACCAGAATTCATTATTAAAATGATTTCGAAATTAGATTGGAATGTCTTTGTTGATACAGCTAACAAAGTATTGATATTTTTTAAAAAAAGTTAAATTGTTAATAGCTAGGTTATGGGACTGAACTACCTAAATCCAATCCTCCAGAAAATTTTAATAAAGATGATGAGTTTTTAAAAAAAGTTCATCATGCTTTGTTTGAGGTTGAATATATTAATATTTATTTTCTTTTATATTTAATTAAAGGTAGATGTTGAAGAGGGTGAATTAATATGTCCAGAAACAAAAAGAAAGTTCCCTATTACTAAAGGAATTCCAAATATGCTTATTAATGAAAGTTAAAATTTATATGGTGTCAATTTTGCTAAATATATGACTTTAATGAAGTTTTGATATATAAATAGTCATAATTGATAGTTATTATATTATAATAAATATATTATATACTATAGTAATATTTCTCAAATATCTCAAACTTTTCAAGTTAAATATGTGATTGGAATACCATTTTTATTGCCATCATCAAATAAATTCAATTGTATTATATTCGATTTATATTAGTTATGATATATAAGTTAATTTGAAATTTATCATTCCTCTTTTATTAAATGTTCTCTTATAGTAACTGGTTTGAACCTTTTCTCTTCATATCCACCAATTTACATAATTCTCTGTAACCTTTCATTTTTAAAAAAATTTATTTACAACTTAGGAACCCCCCCCCCCCTCCAAAAGTGTATTATTTATTAAAATTCTAGTTAGGTAATTCAAATTTTAGCTGACTTATAAAACTCTTTGGGTTTTTTTGTAAATATAGATCAATTTTGAACAAAGCATAGGAGACCTTCATTGGCCTTTATTTATGACCAAGCCCAAGGCCAGCCTTATAAAAAAAAATTATACCCAGCCTTCATTTATATTTAAGCCGGCATAAAACTTCCCAAGCCCAATAAATTATTTTATATGAATCTATTCATATTATATAGCTATAATTATTATTTTAATAATGAAAAATTTATAATATGCAAAATTTTATTTTGATATTAGTCAAAAAATAATATCTATTTTTTAAATAATATAAAAGATAATAATTTTACCCATATGTAAAAAAAAATCACATTTCAGAAATAAAGGAACATGTTATGCTACATATTATCAGTTTTCCTAGTCTTCAATCTCATTACTGTAATAATCTGGGGATATATAGAAAGCCAAATGAATTTACAAATGATGTAGAATCTATATTTCAATTATTAAAAAGATCATTACCTTGATCTTTTTAAATATCATATTTATAGACTAATTAATATTGGATTTGTCACACCAAAAAAGTATCTACCAGTTTTATAAGAATAAAAAAAATTATTTTTATTTTATATAATTAAATGAAGGAATTATTCACATCCTTAAATTACAAAAAAAAATAATTAAGAAATCATTACTATTCAAAACATAGACAAACAATTTTTAAAATTTCTCTGATAAAGTTGGAAAGTGAAGATAGAACAATATAATTCTCATGCAATATATATATAATGAAAAGGTTTTAATATCAATGTTATAAAATTTTTAAATATTTAAATTAGTATATACTAAAAGTGATTAGATTAATGATAATTGAAAATGATGTAAAAATTCTGATATGTCCCTACTCCTTAGTGACCATTTTCAAATTGACAAACTTATTTCATTCATAATATTTATTTGACATATCTTAGATTTCTAAAAAATGATAATTCTTTTTAATTTTAAATGTTATAATTATTGCAAGATTGAGTAACCCTTGTAAAGAAGAAAATATATACAATAAATTTATATATTAATAATTTTACTAATCATATTATAAAAAAAATTAAAATTATTTCCAAAATAATATAAAAGAAATAACTAAACAATTTTTAAATTATAAAATCTCTACAATTATATAGCATTTTCATCTCATTTACATAACAAAATATATTATGTAGTAACCAATCTTCATAATTCAGTAAGTAATTTTGTATATAATCAAAAAATATATATGAATATTACAATTATATGTAATATTTTTTAGTTGATAATAAAAACTAGGCATTTCATAAAGTTATTGTTTATTCTTCATAATAAAATTGAACTCAATATTAATTTTTTTTTCTAAATTAATTAAGCATAGCGGTGATTTGAATAAAATTTCCCAAAAGTTTATTGTTACTTTCTGGATCCTTCTACTCGAGATAATCTAATTCGAACTTACATTCACATAAATTAGGAAAGCTTTAAGTTATTTTGATCCTCTAATGTTTTTATTACTCTTCAATAATAATATCATTTTTTAAATATTTTGTTTCATCCATCATAATTTTCTTGAATTCATTGAAATATCGTATTTTTTCAAACGAAAAGCAGACAAATAAAATTTATAAAATAATTAGATTTGATCAGTCTAACAAATTTGATATGTTTTCACTCCTGACCTTGGAAAGTCTGATGAAATATTATTAAAAAATAAACCTGATATGTAATTCTTTTGTATATATATACATTTATATAATTATCCAATTTAACTTGTAATAATATGCAATTTGATTAACCTCTATAATATAATATTAAATGTCGGAAAGTTATAATATTGTATTACAATACAAATATAATATTCAAATTATAACCTTTTAAAATATATAAGATATAACATATCTTATTTCTCACCAAGTTAAGATCTTCTACCATTTTGTTTACCCAGTTCAAGTTCATCTATCTCCTAACTTTATAATGTTATTTGTTTTTAGTTCGCTTTTGTAAGTTTTTTTTTCTTTTTCCCTTTTCCAGGATTGTGATGGCGGATTCTAGTTTTTCGACATCTTTATCTAATTGTTCCCACCATCACTGTTTTATTTTCGCTTGTTATTTTATCATCATTTATCTGTATTGGGTTTCGCGATAAAGCATATGCAATTATATTATTAGCGCTATTCTTGTACACTATATCATAAAAATATGCCCATAATTTATAAGCCCAACGTAATAATCTTTGGTTTGTTAAGGAGCTTAATTTTCGCCCATACAAATAGTTATGAAATTTTTCTACGCCGTATGGCCTTGGCTTTTTTGTCGATTGTCGTATAATTCTTTTCAGCATCTTGTAAAGTTCTCGAGGTGTAAGCTATTAGGTATTCATTACCATTATCATATTTTTGCATGAATACAGCTCTAAATCCTTGGTTAGATGCATTGTTTATATTCTCTATATGTTCAGTATCATTTTTCCCTGTGATTATAACATCATCTAAATAAACTGCTGCATCTTTACAATCAGCCAGTAAATCGTCCATATATCGTTGAAATATTATTGGTGCTTTAGCTATACCAAAAGGAAATCGTATATAGCGGTAGTATCCATTTGGTGTTACCATTGTTAATAATTCTTGCGATTCATCGTCAATGCTCATTTATAGATATGCATCTTTGAGAACTAATGTTGTATATTTATTTCCATTAGCGATTTTTGTGATTAATTCTTCAAACGTTGGTAGATGTGATAGTCTTTTAGTAGAAATTTATTTAATGTTACTTTGAAATCTCCACATAATCGTAGTTCACCTGATATGTTTATGTACCACTACCATTGGATTACTCCAGGTTACTCTTGTTATTGATGGATCTACAGGCAAAACCGTTTTATTGCGAAAGCTTGGGACCAAAATATTTAAAAATTTCGCAATTATCCGATTTTTCGCAATTATACGATTAAAAATCAATAATTTATTTATTAAAAATCAGTTTGTGTTTTTATGCAAATATTTATCATCTATATTTATTTTAATCATATAAACCATCAAACTTTGTAATAAATACGTTTTTTAGTTAATGTACCAACTATATATTTAATTTGAATAAGTTATAAAACGAATAAAAAAATTTTATTTTTGAAATTTATCTAATATGTTAACATATGTTTTTGTTGCCCGCGTAATATTTTTAATAACACACCTCCACAGTCTCAAAGGTGTTCATGGTGCTCCTGAAGAACAGAATTCTTGATTCTACCAAAAACCTCCTTTCAAGTAATATTTGCGCATACAGACCAAATAAGAACATCAATGAACCCATCCTAGCTCTTAAAATCTATCTACAGAAGTGTTTTAGATATAAACTTCCTTTTATATTTACTTTCATAGACTACAGCAAAGACTTCGACAACGTGAAACACAATGCCTTCTGGGAGACTCTAGAAGATTGCAATATCGATCCAAACATAATTAAAATTTTGAAGTACCATTACAATAACTCTTGGGCCAAATTACAGCTAGGCCAAACTTTCTCACCTTACTTCAAGATTAAAAGAGGGGTAAAACAAGGCTGTGTACTATCACCTATTTTGTTCAATATAATCATAAACAAAATTATAAAGGAAACCACGAGCACCATGAACCTAGTTGATATATCATCAAACAATAATAATATCAATCACCTAAATCTCATACGCAGATGATCTAGTTTTAATCACCAAATCAAGAGATGAGACAATAGACTTACTTACAAGTCTATGCTTTCATAGCAACAAAGTAGGTTTAACCATAAACTTTAATAAAACTTTTATTATGCCATCCCCAGAGGCGTCTATAAATAACTTAACATTTGAGGGAAATGAAATTAAAATAGTTAACAATTTTAAATATCTTGGCGTACTTATCGATAATAAAGGAAATATCAGCGGTGAAATCGAAGCCCGACTAAAAAACGCCAAAATAACCTTTATGAAATATTACAAACTATGGACAGCAAGAGAGATCTCAGTCAAAACGAGGCTCCGAATTTTTAACGCCACAGTCATTCCAGTCCTCCTCTACGGCAGCGACACTTGGGAAATAAATAAATCTCAGACAAAGAAAATACAAGTTTTCGTAAACCGCTGTCTGCGCCAGCTCAACGGTATTTTCTATCCAAGAATAATTTCGAATGCCAGCCTATGGCGAATCTCAAAAAATGTCCCGATCGAGACTACTCTCAAAAAAAGGCACATTCAACTCTTTGGTCACACCATCAGAAACTTCAGACAAAACATAGTGCATGAAGCTATAATCTGGCTCGAGTCTCATGAAGGTAAGACATACGGTAAATACAAGTCATATTGGCTATACAGAACGATAAAAGAAATCATAAGCCTAAATCTGACGATGGAACAATTCATACGTCTAAACAATAATAAAAGCTCAATAAAAAAGCTTCTAAAAATCAAATCGGGCTACCTGCTCCCTCCAAATCTCTCAGCCCCCCCCAGCAACATAAGCACCACTTTCCTCCCGCCATGGTAAACATACATTTATTTATTTGTTTATAAAACTCTTCATGTACCTAACCTTGATATAATTATCCAAAATATACTTAACTCACTAATCTAATATTCTTAAATAGTAAGGCAGATTTATTTAAAAAATATATCATATTTATATTAAATAAACAAATTCAATATAGACCATAAACTTAAAATTTACCAATACCCCTCCCTATAATTTACATTTTACTTAATCGGGTACGGGCTTTTTTCTCTCTTC